AATATTATTGGCGTGCATGATATTTTTGATGTGGTAATGTGGTTTAATTTTGAATACGATTCGAAAATCGAATTGGTCTAGACCATTCGGTTTCTTTAGATAATGCATGCTGAATTTCTACGCACCATCCTTTAGTAGAAAAACTTTCCGATATCTAAAAATATTTCTTCGCCTTTGCGCTGTGCAAATTTGCAAGAGTTTAAAATATTCGGTTACACCCGAAATCAGTCCTTCCTTACTAGTGTAAATTAGATTTTTTACCTTAAGTGGTAACTATTTAAAATTATGACCGAACTTAAGTCCAAGTACCATATTAGCAAGAAATATTGGACAACTGGAACTCCTGTCCGATATTCACAAGACGATTTATGAATGAATTCTAGTTGTGCTGCTAAAGGAAATAAGTGGGGTGAGGCTTGATCTGATTTTTATTGCTTATGAATTGTTGATAATTTAAGTATTAGTGAATATGTTCAAACTTCTTCATAATCAAAGTAAAAAATTCTGCATTATGTTCATTGCATTATAGGAAAATTGAAAGCCTTAATTATGGGAAGTTCTCGTATAACAGTCGACAAATGAACAATCCCAAAATTCACTTTGCAAAGGATGTATGTGTGACTAAACAAAGAGAGCATTTCGATACGAAAGAGAACTTCCCTCACCATTTTCAGAGAGTATTCGTGTCGATGAATTCGACCACATCCACGAATGTGTAAAAAGGTACTTACATATGTTAACAGTGAGAGAAAACTGCGTTCCTCCCACTCAGAATGCTAAGAAGGTTGTGCAACATGCCTTACCTTCAGGGCCATGCAAAGGAAAAATAAGAATTCGCTGCTGTATTTTTATTATCTAAGAACATTTTACTGCGAATAATTCTCAAACGGTTTTATGTTCCTTTACGGAATTTTATGCTTCCAACTTCGAAGGATTTCGATGCCTTTACATTTGCCGATGCTACGAGGCATTTCGTGCGGCTGCTGTTGCGATGAAACTTTCATTACCTCCGATTGCGAGCGTTCGTTGCCCATACTCATGGCAATGCAATGCTCGTGTTGTTGTAGTCCAAAGTACTTAAGGTTACAGCAGCAATTGCATATTATGCACTAAAATCCTTACAAATTGGCGAAATTGTTTAAGCGACTTTGCTTAATGGAGCCTTAAAACAGCGACAACAACAACACATGTGCATACAATGCTTCACACTTTAATAACAAAGGAACGAGTTGACTAAAATGATATTGACACTGCATTGTTTAGCTGGCTTTTTGTCGGCCCTCAATAGCTAGTGGCTTTTTGATTCCTTTCAAGAAAACCTTCTTGAAATTTTCACATATCTAGGCAAAGAACAACAACACTTTGAAAACCCCAATCGCTTTTGGCAAGAAGGCCAATCATTTTGTCTTAAAAACAGTGTTCACCGATATTGATTTAACGCAACACTTTGAACTGTGCGGTCTCCGAAAGATTTCGCCCATTTTCTGCCTCTTGCACTGTTCAGTACCCGTGTGCTCCTGAATCGTATAAAAGAGTTTATTTCAGTCAGCGTAAACATTTGTTATAATGCTCTTTATCTTATGACAATTTATCTATTAGTTCCTGAAATATTCAGACCAACCTTCGGACAAATATTTTTGTTGGAATTACCTGGGCCATATATTCTGTTGCTGAATAGACATTTATGGATCTGCCTCCTTTCCACCCATTTAAAATTATAGTCCATCTTTCTAATAAAACAATTAAATTTTTCGAGTAAAGGTTTCAAAGAAATGAATGCCTTTCGTATATGGGTCCCTAAAGTGGTTGTGCATTCCTTTATGGATCATTCGTACACCGAGCGTGTAGTAAATTTATGAGGGGCGAAAAACTCGTAACTCAAATCACACTAGTCTCAATGGATATTCTTGAAGTAGCTTAGAAGATCGAACCCATGGACACCCAAGACTCCAGCCAGAATTGTTTGTATAGCCTAGGGGGCTGGATAAATTACTCAATAGTCAAGTTGTAATACTACATAACTTGCATTTGTACTAAATATACTTATAAATTCGTTATCCTCTTTGGAGGGAGAGTGGTGTGGCTTCTACTCTGAGCGTCTCTCCGGCACACACTGGCAACAAATGGAAAGATTATCTTGCTGTTAGATTCCAGCCTTCTGTGTCTCCTCACACTCTGGGCGCCGCTTCGCATCCGTTTTGTGGCGCTTTCGCCTGGTATTTTCCTGCACTTTGTGTGCTTTGCCTTGTGAAATATTTGACAATGCGACAAAGCGCCTTGCGCTCGCTTTCATAAATTTCTGGCAAGTTTCGAATATTTACACGTTTCAATTTGTTGAGTTTTTTGTTTTTGGCAAAAATGTGTTGACAGGTGAATAACCCGCGGTGACAAGAACATACACTACTAAGAGCATACGAATATGAACTTATGGAGATATATAGGAGCATATGTACATAGCTACTGTATGTGTGTTGTTGTATCCCCGCAGTCAAATTAACTAGTTGGAAGCTGAATTGGTATTTTTAGGCATTGACGTCACACGAGATGACAAATGCCAGAGTTTGGTCTAAACATGTCAGTATCACACTAATAACTAACAGAAGAAAATCTAGTTTGTTATGGAAACTACGGGTTTTGGTGCCCCCAAAGTCCCCCAATTTATCCTTATACTATATCACATAATTATAATAAATCTGATCTTTTATTCACTAGTTCGATTGAAGTCAGAAAATGTTTCCTGATTAGATTGGGGCTTCACTGCAGGGATGTTTTGGTCTGTCAACCGTTTACCCCTGGTTGTGTAACTGTAACTGAGTGTTGTCATATTGAGTGTATGCGTGTGTGTGAGAAAACTTTCTCTGCTTTTCTTGTAACCGCATAAGACAGGAAATACATTATAAAGTATGAAAAATTAATCAAACTCTTCTGGAAACTCACATAACCTGTATAAACGTATATATGTAACTTTCACTAAAATGTTTAATTATTTCACATGAAGGGGCTTACCAGAGTCAGAGCCGGAGTTTGACAAATGGGGATTGACACTATATTTACTTCATATGTCGACAAACATACGTTCTCATTTATTCAAAGAGTTAAGTTGTGCGGGAAACCTAAAATATTTAGAAAGATAACATAAATTCGACAAAATTAGATAAATGAAATAAGTCGTGAAGGGGGTTTATGGCATAGTTCGTTTTTAACTGCTGGAGTCAAATTTCTATGCTAAAAGAAACACGCTCTTTTAAGTTATAAGATATTTTACACGCTGATCGATATCTAGGTTGTAAGCTTTAAGTGTTGTTTCGATATCTTTTATCCATCGCTTGCCTAGTCGTAAAACTCTATGGGCAGTTTAAAATCGATAAGAATGTCGAGTAACGGGTATGGTTGGAATCAAAAGTTTAGGCTGTTGCAAACAAACTTAAGGAAAACAAAATCGGGGATATTTTTCAGGTCAGACGGGTTAATGATGTTTACGAAATACATGCCAAGAAATCGTGCGTTCGGCTATCATAAAAATTTCGGCAATAGTTAGTTTACATATAAAATATATAGTTTCCTGAGCACTTAGCTAATATTAATACTATGAAGGAAATACAGAGTTAAGTCTTTAGCTCTTTGATGTCATAGCAGTTGCGATTCTTCTGCGAATCCTCTTCTCGAATGTCCGGACTACAGCACAGGCTTTTTAACCAATTGTTCCCCCTTTGTTCCTTCTCCCTTTTCTCCCTCCCTGCTTTTGACTTCCTGTAAATGGAGAGTAAAGGTGAAACCGCAGAAAAGGATTTAAATTCCTGCTACGCAGAGCACTTTTCGCTTTGGTTGGCCACACAAGCCCATAGATGAAATTCTCCAAAGCAACCGCGGATGTGGTTGCGCACCCAAACATAGTTTATCCAGGTGCAACTCTTCCCCGTGACTGTTTCCGTCCCTCCTTCAGCATTATGTTGATAATTTTTAATGAGCACACCAAAGAGTGAAAACTTAGGGTGTTAATGAAATTGAAAATGTTCCCGCATTTATTTAACATCGACACACTTTCGTTGTTGGTGTTGTTATTGTTATTGTTGCTGAAGGAACATAAGCGAAGGCAGCCGAAAACTGAAAGTCTGCAGACAATCACATTAGACTAACGATGTTTTCGAAAAAGTACTAATTGCGAAACCGCAACAGCCGACGCTCACAAGCCGACACACACATGCGTAAATGCCGATTACTCACACAGGCATATTACTACGGGCACAGACGCAGCCACACGCTCATGTGCAAGCGGATAGTTCGCTCGTGCATATGTAAATGTCTCAAGTCGGCTTTTGCGACGTCTCCACATACGCACGCATAGCCATGCATATCGACGTGTGTGCCTGCTAAGGTGACGAGTGCGGGGGTCGCCGTGCTGCCGATATTGGGAATGCAGTGGAAGTGTTAAAAACAATGGAAATTATTTTATTATACTTATTGTGTCTTGCACGCCGACTATGCGTTGAGGAATTCTAATTGAAATTCCACTGCGACAGCGGCAACTGACTCGCTGTCACGTCTCTCCCCATTTGAATGAAAGACCATTACTCGAATAGTGACTAATGGGGGCGTGCAAAAATAGCTCGGTTAAAACGGGAAGGCCCACAGGTTGTGCGGGAAGGAAGCAGACCAATGTGTCAAAGACATACAAATAAGGAAAAATATAAGTACACACACCCAGTGTCGTATATTTTGTTCTCATGCACTCGATAGACTCTTTCGCAAAATTTCAATTATTAACTGCTCCACTTCCCTCCTGGTGACTTAGCGACATTTCCATTCATCTTTTGGAGAGTGAAGTAGATTCGTTTAGAGTTTTCACCGGCAAAAAGAAGTGCTCGTTCGCTGTGACCCCGAAGCAGAAGAAAGCAGAGCTTACAAACCTTCGAAAAATTTTACTTTATAGTTTCCAATTCCGAGATTGCTTGCAAGAAAAAAGTTAGTTTTTCCTACTTTTTTTGTTTTTATTTACAATATTTTTATCGCGTGTCTTTGCAATTGAAGTCATTCCAATTGATTATTAATACAATTCAAAATAAAATTCCTTAAAAAGTGTGTTGTCTTCAATACTTTCTTAGATATTTTATATTCTCCACTTCTCGAATGTATTGAGCGTTACTTTTGCTGTTATGAACAACGGTAGAACAAAAGCATGTGTATAAAGATTTTTGCTGAATGTTCAACAATTTCAAGACCTTCGGGATGTGCTGCACTGCGACCGCATTTAGCGCCACGATTCGAAGAAGCCTTTCAGATGCGGTTTCGGAGTCTTTTAAAACATTTTCCTACCCTCATTAAAGCAATTAGTTTAAAATAGGAATCATTGGGCTGCCAATTATTTTTTCAGCGACTCGTCACGTGTTAAAAGTGGAAACAAAGTTTGATGAATCGGAAGAGTTATAGAAAAGTCAGCTCTTTTTATTCTGAAATCGTACCTCCTTTATAGGTATATCCCAATATGCTTCTATTATGTGGTGATTCAATATTAAAGACGTTCCGCAGGAGCGTAAGCTATTTGCTACGTGAATGTGTATAATTTTGTAACGAAATGAACGACATTACCGATTATGCTGGCACATATGTATTTATGTAAGTATGTATTTTTATGTAGTCGATTTTACTATCTTCTTCCCTCCTTCCTTTTTGCTTTTCATTTTGCTTATGAAATTTCTATTTTAATGTTGCTGTTCAAGTGTCTTGCGGTGCTTGGATTTGGAATTTTATGACATGAGCTCATACATTTATGGCATATGTGCTGATTTTGGCTTGTATTGTTTTCTGTTTTGTGGTCTATTTATTTTTATGCGATTTGTCGAAATTTTTTCATTCCTTCTATTTATTTTTTACTTTTTACATTCACACACGAGCTCGCTTCTCCAGCATCGACGTGTTCGCACTAAAAGCACTAAAAATTTGCATTTAAGCAATAACAAGCATATGCTTCCACTCGGATGGCTCGGTACAGAGGCCCATTACTGCTTTCCCGTCTAAATATACACGAGCTCATGCCGACTGCACCTGAACTCATATTAAGTAAATACGTATGTAAGTAAAATAAACTTAGTTGCGGAATTTCGCTTTTTCGGCGTTAATGAATTGAATGGCTCATGAATTCGGAAACTTTATGATACTAGAGCATAGCGACTCGTTATTCCCGTTATAACGGTCACGCTCACTGCATCGCCTGCAACGATGAAGCCAGCACCACCTCCATCGCCACTGACAGCAATTACGATTCCCCAAGGACATTTTACAGCCACGTTTGACATTTCATTATGTTAAAACTCACTAAACGGCAAATATGTAAAGCAACACGCCGCATAATCGTAAAGACATCGTTTTTCATTCTCATTCGTTTCTTTCGACACTCACTCGTACTTTTTCTGCTGAAGCACAGCAGTTGTTGTAGTATTTTTGTGGTGTCAGGCGAAGAATGTCCTCGCCGCACCTTTGTCACATATTTTGCTGTAACCATTTGCGGCATTTCGAGCGATAAAGCGCGAGCACTGGTGTCTGAGCGCTTGTATGTGTGTGGGCGCGTTTGTCAGTGTGTGTGGTGGTGGAGCGCTTGACTGTTAGTTCAATAATATCAAATTGCAATTTTCCCTTTACCATTTATTGCTTCACATTTGCTGTTGTTGTTTGCTTACTGAACTATCCTGTCGCCGAGTGGCAAGGGTGGGAGGGCGGCATGTGTCCTCAGTGTCCCGTATCAACAGTAACAGCATTAGGAAAATCAAAACGATCTCATTATTTTTCGAAAAGATATCATATTTTACGCTCTTATGACTCTGTTATGCTGTTATTGCACCGCACCCTGTGTTGTCATAAACAATATGTGTGCGTGCCACCGCCCTGGCGGGCTGGCTACCCTGGAGGCGTGTGTAAGCGATCGGCTACGAGCTTAGTGCGATGTGCGATGTGCTCGCACAGACTCACACACAAACCCAAACATTCGGAAATTGCACTGGATTGCTATATAAGCACACAAATTCATGCCGCTGGCTCTGGTGGAAACATGAGACCGACACTTTGCTACAGTGTTCGTAACGCTATGCTGACGTCAAACTGGTTGTTGCATTCTAGCATTATTAAGAAACGCTAACTTTTTAGCCGCTCTCAAATAAAATATCGACTTATCGGTGAACGTACTCACACACCTACAAACGTCTATCAATTTGGGAATTCGGCATCGCAAAGAGCTAAGATGAATACGAAGCCACGCGATTACTTGTCGGGTAGGGGCGAGGTAGGAAAATCCTAGGAAATGAATGGACCAGGGCGACCTATGGAAGCAATTGCTAAAGCCAACCAAGCGCAAGCTAACAAATTTGCTTCAATGATTGCTCCGCTAGTCTACACTGCGGATTATATTGTATGGAGAAAATAAGACACTGCTTGCCAAACTTGTCTTATCGGACCAACGAATAAAACTCCTCTACGCTGCTCGTTCTCCGCAGCTGCCAGTTCCAACCTTTTCTCAAAAATCTCACCTGGAACACCTTCTTTACTTCTCAATGGCATACCAGTAGTCCGTGGGTTTCAAATTTGCCATTGTTTTTGTGCTTGTGCTATATCATAAAGGTGCTCAATTTTTTCAGTGTAGTCGAGCATGCGGTGTTGTCGATTCTGCCGAACATTGTCAATGAAATTTCCATAATCTAATATTGCGCAGTTATAAGCCTTCAAATGATGCCCCTGGGGAGTTCGACTCCAGCAGTCCACTTACCGCCAGGAACCAGTCTGCAGCTACGAGCAGCGGCAACAATAATTATTTGTCTCTGCTACCGCCACTGTTGTCGGTAATCGACGTCGTCTTTGTCATTTATTACCCGCCGGTGTGGCAACTCTCAGCTTGTAATGCACACTTCAAGACGCGTATGTTCTTATCCGAGTATCTTCATGTCTCGCTGTAGGTGCGGGGCGTGCGTGTGCATATGTCATTTGGCATATTTGCTGTCACATGAGGAAACTTGTAGCTTTTCGCACTGACGTTTTGCGGCAAGGCGTGAAATAAGAATTTTCGTATTCTGAAGACGTCCCGTTCCCTTTTACTTCCTGCTCTTCGTTGGCCGTATGCGCTTCTTGCGTTGTTGTTGTTTGCTTTGGGATCGCTTTTGAATGTGAATGGAAATCTGAATTAAATCAACATGACGCTCTCCAGACGTATGCATTGGGAATTCTCGGCGCTTTCAAGCAGCGCCTTAACTTTGCTGCGAACGCAACTGCTCGCCGACTGTCTTGCCGCACTGCGGCTACCACAGCCACAATCAACGGCGCGTTTCGCAGTAGTTTCTAGTGTTCGGATATTTGTGAATGCGTGTGTGTGTGTGGCTCGTATGGCAAGTTGTTTGTCAATGGACTATTTTGATTTTGCGTAAACGTGTGTCTGCCTCAATCTGTTGCGGTTATGTGTGCTGGATGATGGTGTGTGCGTGGCAGTGGCATGCAATTTGCTACAACCTCATTTACATATGTACATGTGTGAGGACGCAGAACGCAATGGGGGTGGATGTGCAAGTGGCGGAGTATGCAGACCACTCTTTCAATTCCTGTTGGACCAGGTAATCACATGAAAACCAGTAAGGGATACGCACGTCTGGCAGTCAGTCATCATCGAACAGCAGTCGCGGCGTGATGGACGCCAGAACTGATGTGGATGGTTCCTTCTCAGTTCTCCCTTCTCAGTGCAAACGCAAATTTATGCAGGCGAAATGTCGATTTCTAATTTATTTATTTGCATGCCTGAATGTGCTCAAAAGAAAAGTAGTGATATGATTCCCCAAATAGTTGCTTATATATTTTTTCTTATTTAGGTATGTTAAGCATGTCACCGGCTGTAGCCAAAGTGATCCGTTACAATACCCATAGACTTCTTGAAAGCGAGTGAGATGTTTCCGAACCCTAAATTTCTTTATTAATTTGTGATTGTCAAGTACGAAGAAACATTTTTGGGTTAATTGTTAAGCGTTTGCAGATTTGTTAAAACATTGAATATTTTCAGCTGTCCTCACAAACATATACAATTAAAACCGCCAAATGAATGTGTCGACGAGCACACCCATGGGGCATAAACGAATGCAGAGTCAGATATTATTTATGTTAGGGCGGTCCTTTCCATTTCAGTACGCACTGGTGGTAACTGAGTCCACCGAGAGAAGTTAAAAGCTGTATCTAAATGCTTCAACTTGCTTGTATGTTGTTATGCAATTGTCAGAAAATTTTAAGATTAGCAGTTTGTAAATAGAGTAAGTTTTCTCTTTTTAAATGTAACTCAAGAGCAATTGTGAACGTATCTGCAGAAGCAATGTTCCTTACATTCGTAAAATTTTTTGTCTGGGTTATACATACACATGTATGAATTATTTTGATATATTTAATTTGGAATCATAGAGTTATTTTCAAATAAGTGAATTTTGAAGATGACGTAAAATATCGCTTTTTAACAGAAAACTTCAAATCACTTTTATTGTTTTTAATGTTAATAATAAGGCTAACTTATACCGAGAGTTCCTGTTGTGAATCTCTTTGACCATTAATAAAATTTAGTTGTTTCTAGATTCATGTATCATTCACGTCTTTTGATATTATTAATTGTTTACTAACCTTAGCATTGATTTTCTAAAACAATAATAATTTTTATTTTACCTATAGTAAATTTTCTGCTTTAATTTTTTAAATAAAAATTTAAAATAAAAAATTTCAATTGATTCCAGAGCACGGACGTACAAATATTGGCTTAGGATTTGAGTAGACGACGTTGAGCGATCAACATTCAATATATAAAAGGTTCAAGTGATTTTTAATTAAACTCAACAACTATGTTATTTAGTTCTCAGAGATTTCGCCTTCCGTGTTTCCATGTAAAACAGTTTGGTCACCGCAAAATTTTGAGAAAAGTTGCAAAAAATTAAACAAGTTTCCGAAACCAATTGAAACTTAGATTTTTAAGACGAACCCTAATATACACATGTACACACTTGCTCTTAGGGTGTGCATATGTATGCCATACTCTTAGGAAAATTCCTAATTGCGCTCGCTTCTTTTTAAGTGCGCAGAAAAGCTCTAAAGTTAATGAATAGCAAAATTATGTTGATGACTGCCGACAGCTCATTTCTTATGGGGCGCACTGCCAAAAACCATAGCGGATTGAAAGGTAATTTTTGGAAAATGCCTGCCACTTCTGCACAACCAACGATATTAATTGCATTCGAAAACTCCACTTATAAATCAATTACGAAGTTGAAGTGCAGAAAGATGAGCTGGAGGCGGCGGCGCACGCTGCGTCGTGCACCTGCTGGGCTGGCGGCGAATTAATGAGGCGAACTCCTGTGCTACTGAGCCACCGAGCTACTAAGCTGCCGAGCTGTGTTAAGCATTACCTAGGAATGCGGATCGAAAGCGATGGAAGACGCACAAGTATATAGGTATATATCATATATCCGAGTATTCGATTGATTGTTTGTATGTGTGGGTGTATTTGTATGTGTACATAAATTTCATTTTAAATTCAATTAATTTAATTTCAACACCATTAAGTAGTCGAGTTGGAATCGTAGGCAACACTGGCGGCAACATAACCGAGCACAATCCTAAATCTAACTTATCCACAACAACAAAATAGGCACTAAAACTTAGAAAGCATCGGCTCGATTCGCATAGCCACATACAAAAGAACTAATTGATTTATGTCTGTATATATGAACCTGAGTAAATATTATGTATGTGCGTTGCAAAGCTAAGCGTGTGAAGAGAAAGAACAATGGCAACAATTGATGTACCATCTGCAAGGCATTCTTCTTCAATGTGGAAAGGCGAGTTAATATCATTAGAGAAGAATAAAGTTTGGAATTTTAATTAAAGTATAGCTCCACCCACACACACACAATTGGAGGTAAATAAAGAAAACTCCTTCGCACGTGTGCGGTGCAAATCCATGCTTTGGATGACATTAGGGATGACTATATACACATCGGGAATTGTGGCTTTTGTACAGGTTGCATCGCGGGAACCGTTAACACCATCGGTCAAATTTACCGAAATGATTTAAAATTCTTATTTTTATTCATCAGAGTTGCTCTTTTCTTTTGAGTTCACGAAAGATTACCTGTTCTCTATAGAAGATGAGCGAGTGCAGATTTATCGACAAGAATTAGAGCCATATTGGATTTTCTGGTTGAGATTTCTGTGAGGTTTGAGGGCCTGGACTTGTTTTCATAAATAATATACTATTAAAATGAACACAAAAACTTGAATTAAGCAAGTCCAAAGCGAGCATCCATTTAGTATTTTACGTTTCTCTCCAATTCGGTGTTATGTTAAATTTTCTACCAGAAATGGAATTGGAGTTGCAATTTGTTTACAAAAGGCAACCATGATTTGAATCTTTTACAGAACAAGTGGAACTCTGTGGTTAACTTTTGCTAACCGAAAATCATATTGTATATCCCTTAGATTGCATTTGTCAATACAATATGCTTTATCCCATTGCTTAGAAGAACTTTCGATTTTGTTTACTTTCACACTGTATTCGAAAAAGGCAGAAAAACGTTCAACAATTTTGGAATTGGTAAACAGAATTGCGCTAAAAAACGTTTCAGACGCTCGTCATTTGCGGCTTTGGCGGTCGCAGCTTTGGAACAATGCACAGCTCGGTTGCAGGTGGTATGCTAGTGAAAGGCTTCAAATGCCAACAATACAATTACACAGATATGCTACCGTCCATTGTCTGTATATGCGCCTAACATTCCCACTGGATTGCCCGCTTTCGTTGTGAACAGACTGGCTCTTCGTTAGGTCTCGGATAGTGTGGCAGTAGAATTGTACTTTCCTACTCCAGTTTCGATACGCTGCATTCCCATTCGATGGGTTCATTGTTTGTGGACAATGAAATTCAATGGAAATGCGCTCCGTCGCGTGATTCGCATATTCCGACCAGTTAAACGCCGACCAAAATTGGCAAAATCGCATTTTCTGTTTTCTCATTTCGATGGTGGGAGAGGACTGTGACATCAACGTCACTCTAGTTTTGACGTGTGCCATGGGATATCGGTGGAGTTTGTTGTATGGAAGGTCTAATGAATTTCATGGTATATTAAGTTGCTTGGGACACTCAAAAGCTATTTTACTGGCTGTGAGGGAAGCTAAAGGAATCATTTTTTAAATTAAATATAATCACAATTAAAAGGAGGAGATGTGGGCCGAGATTGTAGCGCCGATTAAGGGGCCAACTACGGGAAATGGTTCCGACGGTGGCTTAAACGACAAGCTCACCAATTATTCAGAATACAGCTGTACGATGTTTCCCATATCAAATAAATACTGAGATATTGTATACTGATTTTACCAACTCCAACTCTGAGCCAGGCATCATGTATGTTAAGGAGCTTATTGGTGTCCCAGCTCATGTATATATACATAAGACAATTGGCTTGTATTGATCTTATCAATGCTCTGTCGCATAATTTATCATTTGTCATTTTTAAAGTGACTGCCATAATTCCAAACAGGCGGTGAGTTAATGGGTCCGTGGTGGTGACTACATAGGTCAACTCAAGGTGTGTCATATCCAATCGAGCCGTTGAAATAACGTCGGCATTATAAACACTGATGGTGCAGATAATCGTCTTGATGAATACTTTAAGGCGCGTCTAATGGCATTTTCTATTTGAATAAATGTGCGCCATTTTCTACATGGACCAGCAGCAGCTTCCTATGCCCATTATCCTGGGCCTAAGGACATTTACAAGTGATTGTGTGAGTGTGTGCGTGAGTCTGCTAGCGTTTCAAGTTTTGTTGTTGCTGTGTCATTGCAATAGTTAGGAGGTTGCTTGTTTTCGTTATCATAACAAATCCATACTTTTCCTCTTATGAATTTATAATTTGGCCGAAACGGTTTCTCGTTTACTCGTTGAGGGCTCCGCGATGCTGGATGCCGTTCAGAAGCTCACATTGTCTTTGCTCGAATTTATTTTTTAAGCTCCAAAGTTGAATTGTTGCTTGTTTGGGACATTTTGTTTTTGTTTCGCTGCGTGCCTGACAATGCAGCGATTACCGACTAAGCCTATAAAGTTTTTCGACTTCGCCCATTCCAGGATTGAGTTTTTTCTTCGCCTGCTGCAGTGATTACAAATAGCTCCAACATTTCCTTCAACCTCACTCCTTAGTCCTGCCAATGCCTTGCCGTTGGCCTTAAACTAGCATTTAAATGCATTGAACGCCTTATATGGCAAACGCACACACACACGCACATAAAGAATACTAAGACTGGAATATAACGAGGTGTGCGCGGTGGAACGACATGGCTGCTTCATTGTTTTCGTATGCTGGCAACGTTCTGGTGATGAGCACATTTAACTGATCCTAAATGCTTTTTTAACGGCACATTTAATCCATAAATATGCCTGCGTGGTCGCTGCTCGTGCCTCCAGTTTCGTTCGTATTCCGCGTTCGGCTTCGCTTCCTTCGCGTAATTCACTTGCGAAGGTCTTCGGACCCGCATCGACGGCGCTGAGTTAAACTGCCAAGCATATGTGGAGTCGGCATTTGTCTTCATTTGAGCTTGAGCTTTAACGGCTGTTTTAAACAAAGTTGGCCTTTATGAGTTTTATTGTGAGCATACTTTCCACTGCTTACAACTTTGCATATCCCAACTGCACAACTTCGTAATGGCCGAGCTCATATTTGAGCCATAAACTTTTCAACTGAAATGAAAATTGTGAAAAAATAGGCAATGTACACACTTACTTGAGGCAAAAGGCTGATCAACTGGGATTTTCCAGAGGCAACCAGAGTACATGTCTGTATGCTATAGTATTGAATATATATGTTAGCTTCGATTTGAAATACATCATCATTAACAAATTAAAAATAGACGAATCATATAACAGTGGAGAGGATTCAATAGTTGATTGCTCCGTGATGACATCGTAGAGATCTGAAGTTCTGTTTTGTCACCGAATACACCGAAATTGCGCAATCTTGGTTAAGAGTAGTTGTTTGGGTTTTTTGCGTCAGAACTTTTAAAGTTATACCAACAGCCATCACTCAAAATGGAACAAAAAATTATGAAATCTCCTTTATATATAGGTTGGTATTTCTTATCATTAGGTATTATGCGCCTACCGAATCTAAAGATAATTGAGAAAACATTACTATTACTAAGCTTCGCTCTTCGGACGTTTTTTTATATTTACACTATCTCTGTTTGAGCCCAGAGGTCTGTATACTGAAGCAAAAATTCATATGATCTCCACTTTTCAAAAGCCTGGGAGCAAACTTGCCCATAAGTACGGATGAAGGTCAGACAAAGAATAGGAAGGGCTGCGGCTCACTTCAATTATAAGTGATGCGTGGAGACGCAACAGCTGTGGCGAGCAAAGAAGCGTAAATGACCAAAGCACTTAGGGCGAACTTTCAACTTCAACATTTCCACACACAATTTGTCTGTGTATATGGTTTGATGAGGGCATTAGATACACACATGTTGTATCTATGTGTTGCATACCATTATGTAATTTGCAATAAGCATATTAGCATGTGTGGGATGTAGCGCATTCAAATTAGTGCAAGTGTCGCACGGGTGTTGAGTGTGTATAGATAAAAAGGAATATCTGAACACTCTGTCCCTACTACCAACCAAGGTGCTCTTCATTTCTTCGCTTCTTCGCCTCATGTCCCCGCTGTGCATTTGTCGCCAATTTGTCTAGTGCTTTTTCATTTCACGCTCAAATTAAGACATTTGCCACAATCGATGTCCCATCTATGTGCCGCATGGCGGTTCAATAGCTCTAAAAAGTCGTTGCTGCTTTCTTTATTTGCTTCTACTCACACTTATGGAGCGAATGATGTTCGTATTTGCGAAATGGCACTTTGTCGGCATTATGTGAGTCGAAGAAACCGCAGTGGATCCGAAGGGGTAGCCAGCCGGTAATTGTAAAATATGGTGGAACTAAAATGCGCTTAAGTGCATTTAATTTATTGGCAGCGGTGCCCAAACGCGTGTGGTCCTTTGGAATACTTTTTGTCCAATAAGTCATAATAGAAACTGAATTGAAAAACTCTGCCTAACACACTTGAGTTCGAAAGTATTTTTCGCTTATTTACAGTAATTGGCGGCATGTCGATTACTTTCTCGGGGTAATCGGGGCCTGCAATGAAAGTTTAATTGTGAAATGTGGCGCAATTGGGAGTTCTGTGTGAGGTGCATGGCGCACCCTACTGCCACACACACACACACACAGACCCGACTGTCTCTATTGTTGTGGTGCTCTTTAAACACCGCAACAGCGGACGTACGCCAATTGGAGCATTAAGCCTGACCATTCGACAGGAGGAGAGCGCAGAAGAATCGATACTGCAAAACCAAAAGAGTAAAAGGAAGCTAGCAAACGATCTCGTATGTTGTCTGATAGTTTGTGTTGTCGTG